AAGGGTCCAACCATTGTATTGTAAACGCAATTCTTAAAATACGAAGTTTTATTTAAGCAAGGTTCTATTTCTACTGGACACTTAATTTGCACCATTTTGCATACTGACTTGAAATAAATTTAATACATTACTTTTTCCCGTCGGAAAAGGACGTCCTGAAATGCAGTTACAATTAGAACATATCGTGAACACCAGTGCTGCACTTGGAGCCTAACGGAAGCTGTATATATTAGCCCTTATCAAACCGAAACATTCCTTTCCTATAAATTGTACATATTACGACTCGTTTGCTATTGTGACTGCGAGCTCTCTGAACACCACACGAAAATGTATTTCATCTCGCCACTTGACCCCCTGTTAACTAAACGCCAGGTACTAATGTGAATTTCTTGTCGCCTCTTCAAGCGATGTTGGTGATCCTCAGACGCAGTTGTGTTAGCGGATAGCAGGTGCAGGTTCGTCTGCCCTTGTTGGCCTCTTTTGCTGTCTGTGATCGCGTGAACGGACAGGATCTGCAAGTTATCTTCCGCACAAAGGACAGCCTCTACCATCTTCTGCTAGGAGGCGGAAAAGAACTAGACACCTGACTTTTCCACTGCTTTTGACTCTAAGTTGTCCGGTGATGATTCGATCTTCGTGTCCGACTATGCCCACCGTGTGCCCCGCAACATGGTGTGCGTAGAGACAATGAACTGCGTGTAAATTAGTTTGGGGTGCTATTAGGCTTGCGTTGCATTTAGCGCGCTCTGTAGTCTTTTCCCGCTTAGGCGCGATGTCAAGACAGAGTCAAGAAAACCGGGATGCGATCGGACGTAGGTGGTTGGCACAGCGTGAACCCACGCCTAGGCGTGCTCCCATGATTCATTTTCACACAACCAGAACGGGGTGGAGCCGGATTGGATGCCATCTGAGTATGTGTGCCACTGCAGCCTGACTCTCCGTTTGAATTTATCCCTTCAGTTTGCAGTTTTCCAAGCCATGGCTTTTAGCACGCCGTAATATACTCGAACGCTTCAGATTGCTTACAGTGAGTACTGCGTCTGAGGCAGTAGACTTTGCTCCTGCATCTAGACACCCGTCCACTGTCCGAGCCAGCTAGTTGTTTGGTGCGAAAATTGGACGGTGTGCCTAACAGAGCAGGAAAGCTCGTCTGCGCTCTCCAGATACAGGACCTCCCCCCACTCACCCCCCACACACACAAACTATCAGAATCCCACATGAAAAGAGTCAGGCAGCTCGGATCTAACATATATGCAAGTGCCATAAAGGTCACATTAAGAAGAAGCCATCGCAGTCCGACTGTCAGTACACCAGTCAGCCACTTCACACAAACGCACACTGTGCTGGCTGCGATGTCTGGGGCGAATCACCAGTTAGCAGCTTTCCAAACCACGACTTTTGGTGCACTGTAATAGTCTCAATTACGTCAGATTGTTTTAATGAGGGAAGAGTCGACCTTTATCTCCCTTTTATTCCTTTTGGACCAATAGATTGTCCGTGGCAATCAGAACACCAGTGCCCTCATTCTCTGATCCCGCCCTTTTTGAACCAGCCACAAAGTCACCTTCGATGAACTCATAATAATTGATCCATTCGTTTGTGAGCTTACAGGTCTCCATCCGCAAGGGATCAAAAAATATTCCTGAAGCACGATCTCGAAAAGCTTCCATCAGCAAGGGTTTCACCGTTGCCCAAACTCTTATCTGGTTAGGCCATATACTTGTCTCGGAAGTGCCATGAGGTTCGTACTTGAGCGATATCAGGCTGTCGCCTAGCGACCTCAGACATAGTGGAGTGGATCCTGTCAAAGACAAGGGAGACCGGAATGGTCATTTCTGGCTTGCTAGCCGTCATCAGCCAGTCATACCCAATCTCGGGTGTCGCAGCCCCCGAGATTCGAACCCGGGACCTTTGGTCATTGAGTTTAACACTCTATCTT